AACATAAAATCACTTTGCCCAAGGAGCAAGACCGAAATGCAACATCTTACGCGCAGGCCTCGGAGCATTCTTTGATGCTAGTCGCTTCCTCGTCGTGAGTCAAGTTGTTGCATTGTAAAAAAACCTCTCGGCGAAAACTAGCAGTGGTAAGGTCCCACCGTACCTCCTTGAACAGATCTTTAGCCTGTTTTAGTCGGTATTCCTCTGGCCGGTTGTACCCGGGACAGGGCAACAACCAATGTGTGATGGCCTCTACTATTTTATTCTCCGAATCGGCCGCTAGCTTATCGTTTTTAAGAATGCTGAGCACGATGTCGGGTGGGAGGCCAACAAAGAAATCTATGGCACCAACCGCAGCAATGTGCGTCTTCTTAAAACTCAGACAGTGCTCTTGCAGTGCCGGGATGTTCGCAGACGTCGCCAGCTGCCACGTGGGTGGCAGACGATTTAAAGTAATGCTTTTTAGAGCGGGCAGTAAGACGGAAAAAGCAAATTACCTCCTGCTCATGAAATCAACTCCCCACTGCTCGAGTTTAGGTAGCTGCAAGATGCGTGCCAATGCAATAATGCTCCCTTCGTTTTCTTGAGTTATTCTCAGCTTTCCGGTATTCACATAATCGAGCACTGCTTGAGCGGCGCTACAAAATGCAAAATCAAAAAGCTAAGCGGAAGGTTTACTTCTCAGGCACCTGGGCCCAGTTCAGACGTTGTGTGGCATTGAGGGTGTTCCTCAGCAAAGGGATACGCTCCATCATTACGGCCTTGTTGGTCTGGAGCTGAACGCCGCCTTGCACCTAACACACGCAAAGAGAATCAAATGTCCAGGGTAAAGAGCGCGGGGCAAAGGCAGTTTAAGTAGTGCATCTCTTATACCCCCTAGTCCCAGCATTTCATTTTACGGAAACGGTGGTTATAGGGGATTTGGAGGCGAGGAAGCAGGATAAACAGTGAAGGAAATTTTAGAAGCAAGTGGAAAATGGCAGAATGTAGTTAAATTCGTTTCCCCCGGCCTCTGGGAGTAAATTGTTCCGCATGAAAATGGAAGGTGTGCGTGGCGCTTCGCGCCGCTGACTAAACTAATCTTACTCCAGAACGGTAAGTTGGACCCCAGATAAGTTGAAATAGACGACTTCATAATCACCATTTCTATTTTTCACGAATTTCAAGAAACCTGCATTTTGATAATCGGATTTTTCCGCTATGAATCAACAACATTTCTAAGTGCAATAAAAAATGCATACAACAGTTATTAAAGTATATTACACTGCCTATTTTAATTCTCTACCCATTTAACCCCTATAACCATCGTTATACGGCTAAGGATATCTGAGGTACAATACTGAAACTACTGTTGCCGAGCACAGTAACAGAAGGGCAACCTACCTCTATCACAAGTTCCTTGGGTCCGTCCCTACGGCCCTGAGCTGGCAGATCTGTATCCTGAAAAACTTTTGACTGTGGAACCTCCGCCATTCAGGCAATAACCAAAAAACGCGCCTGTTTATGATGTCATCACAGCTTTCGCCGATAAGCTCACGTTGACGCCTAACAGGCGCCAAACTGCCATTTAGAACCAAGGTCACACACACAACAGTGGGCGCACCAACCAAGTCAGCTTTTTGATTGGGCAGGCTGATAAATTTAGAAGTCAGTGCTGACGAATGTTGAGCGTCGAATGGACTACAGTGCACCCCGTCAGTAACGCGGCGATCGTGGGCGCCAGCGTTATTGAATTATAGGCAGCAGGTTTGGGCCCCATCAGAGGTCACATGATCAGACTATCGAAGGATGCCTAAATACTCCCCCCCCCAAAAAAAAAACATTTTGAACAATCACAAAAAATTAACCACCAGATAATTAACGAACATCCAGGTGAAAGTAAGTATTTCTGTTTACTTGACTAGAGAATATAAATTTTTCAGGGAAAGTGAAAAGTTCCAATTCTCCATATTGCTTGACATGTGAGTCAAATGGAGGTTTAGAACCATCAGATGTTTATCACAGCGAAGCATAAAGTAAATAAAACGGTAAAGGTCCAGTTAAATTGAAAGGAAGATTAATTAAATAACCTCAAAACATTAGCAGCATATGACGACGAGTACAACGCCCAGTATTAAAATATCATCTATAACAAACATTTATGTTATGAGAATAAGAATTTCTTTGGAAAATTTTTCAATTTTATTGCGTAAATTTTCGACATGGACCCACCGGTCGTCGTCAGACGTAGAAAAATTGTGCAACGAACAAAAAACATGCTAAAACGTTGAGAAAATCAATATTCCTCGAACGTGTGCGCCGATTGGTAGGAGCTTTGGTCCATGCTCGTAGATGTTATGTGCAATCCTGTTGCTCCGACGTCGGTGTAAAAATGACAATTGTTCTCGCGTGTGACTTTCGCGGATTGCACATTTTTCCCATTGTAAAAGGTAAGTTGATCGCACACCTTAGATACCCCTAGACCCCAGTCCAATCGTTACTTTTAGGTTTAAAAGTTAGGGTTTAGTTTAAGTTATGTCTTTAGTTTATTTGGTCTTAAGTTGACCCAATTGTGAAAAAACTCGCGGCGTTCAGCGGGATTTGAACCCGCATTGTATGGAAGACATTTTACGCGAAGCCAATGCTCTACCAGTTGAGCTACAAACCCCTCCCTTGCGGTGTGAATCAAATAACACTTAGATCAATTTTACTCCTGCGAAAGGCCTTCTCTAATATGCGTCTGTTTTCGATCTGTTTGTGCAATGATGCTCTATTTCCCGTCTCGCCCACCACCAGATTTAAGACTTGACAATTCCTCTATCCTGCCCAACTATTGCAAGCCAGATTAACCTTATACTGCCAAATTAAGGTACGGCATCCAGCGCTGTCCTTTTATAGCAGAAAAGCATCACAACCGGATATAGTTTGGTATCACTAAACCAGCTACTGTGACTCTTACCTCCGCTGAATGTGGTGAGCGTGGAAGCATTCATTCATAGAGCCAGCACATTTTGGAGTTTCCAAAGACCCTCACTTCATACATCCATCTACATCTATGACGAATTGATGTAAATTCGATCAGTTTTCTTAAAAATAACCCTTTTCTATATAGTAATATTTATCAGTTTCTCTTGTGTCATCGAGCAATTTCTTCTTATTTCATTTAAGCAGACGAAAGCGAAGTTTGGTCAAATAGAAGTTGCAACCACTGCCTGCAGATAAACCCTTACATGGCATTTGGACTATCCCACGTAATTTAATCGTTTAGACAGTAGCCATTCTGTCTATCTAATTAAACATTGCCGGTATGCTAACGTCGTAGTGGGCGGGTCTTGCACCTGGTATCCACCCTCGCGCGTCCTTCAGTGTAAGAATGGTTAGCAGCGTTTATGTCAAATAAAGTAGCGTATACAAAAAACGCTGTCACCTCGGCCGTTCCTAATCAGTTCTCTCTGCGCCGAGTCAGCCAATCTCAACATCGGCTTCACCATCTGCTCTAAGATTACTCTTTCTATATACAGTGACACTTATCATCTTATGCTGTCTCAATGAGCATTTACTTCGAAATTCGTTTAAGCAGATGAACGCCAACT